GGTCAAGGTCAAAGGCAGGTGGAACGTTTATTCCACCCAGGGTGACCACTACAATTAAGCCACAAAATTTACATTTAACGTTTTCATTTATTTTCAGAATGTCAACTAAACAATGAAAATGTGTTAGTGACATTTTTTTAACTTTTTATTTTACACTTGATGCCACATACTCAGCTGCAAGTGACAACAAAAGCTTAGTTTTAACAGGGTGTGTGAACTGAAAACTCTTACCTCTCTTGTAGACAAAACGACACCATGGCTTCAAAGTCTGTGATGGGTGCTTTGTCTGTATCTTTAACAGAACCTCTTTTTTCCTGCAGACAAATTTAAAAAAAAACTTAATTCTAACAAGCCTCCACCCACCCTGAGTGCTGCCGTTAGTCCGAACCTGTCTGCGGATGACTTCCTGACGAATGAGGAAGTAAATTTGGTCTTTGTCCTTTGGGGAGTAGTAAGCGCGACACAAGGAGGGCAGTCCGTCTCGTCCCGCTCGCCCCGACTCCTGGTAGTAACTGGCCAGAGACTTGGCGAGGTTCCAGTGAGCCACAAATCTGAAGAGGCATCAGCGTGCAAATTAAAAACCAAAAATTACCAGCCCAGCAAATCTAAAAAAAATAATAATAATAATAAAAGATTTGTTGCCTCACCTGACATTAGCCTTATCCACACCCATACCAAAGCTGATGGTCGCCACAATAACCAGCATCCTCCCCTGCATCCAGTCATTCTGCACCTCTGTGCGATCTCCTGCCTTTAAACCTGACAGAACACAAACACAACTGAGAAAAAAACACTTTCACATCCCACTCACAGAGCTAATGATCATACCTGCATGATACGGCTTGGAAAGGATTCCAAGCTTCGTCAGCTGGTGAGCCACAGTTTCACAGCCTTCTCTGGTTCGACAGTAAACAATCCCACAGCCCTGCTCACAAACATGACAWGGAGAGACAAAACCTGCATTAAAAACCCCACAAATCAGCAGCCTGTAACACCTGTAAGGAGAAAATGAAAGAACACATGTTGGATGAAATCAGCTGCGTCTTAAACCACCAGGGATGGAGACTAAAATTCAGAGAACTGAAACCAAATTTTGAGTTGTTTTTTACAGAAGTGTACATATAAAATGCATTTTAATGTTAATTTACTAATAAACCTTTATTTTACCAGGGAAAATTCCCAGAGAGTTTAAAACCCTAATTTTTGAAGGGAGTCCTGGCCAAGATAKGCAGCAGTAACTACAATTACGTTGCATAGTTACAAAAATACAAAAAAAAAAAAAGGAATTATATGAAACATTTAAAAGCAAAACTAAGAATGAGAGATAACATTATGATCAACATATTGTGAAGAACACAATGACATGAAGGCATTTTTGTGGCTTCAGGGTTGTGATAAAAGTTACACAACTTAAAATAATTAGTAGCAAATAAAAACAAAGGAAACATTTTTTATGACTGTTCTGCTCAGATACAGGGCATATAAACAACAACAACAACAACAAACA